GGGTCTCAGAGACCACTTACTCAAGTTCCTGTCAATTTTCAAATGAAGACTTTTTGATTTATATCTATCTGATAGCAGACCTAGGACACCAGAATCCTTAATAACTTTTTTTCTTATTTCAAAAGATTACATGTTTGTTGTAGGAAATTTAAAAAATACAGACCAAAAGAAATGAAAATCACCTTTTAAGCCAGTACACAGAAAAGCTTCTTTTACCATGTTAGTCTGTAGTTCTGTAGTCTCTTTGCTTGCATATATTTATGTTGTCATTCTGTATTTACTGTTTTATAACTGGCTTCTTTTTCCATGTAATGTTTTATGAACTTTTTATGTCATATAATAACCTGTACTCTGAAATGTGAAATGCTGCTACAAATGATCTATGAGCTATTTAAATTATAACTAACAATTATTGAGTGCTTACTATATGCTAAGTACTATGCTTAGTACCTCAAAAAAATTATCTTCTAAATATTATAATAACCAGTGTGTAGGTCCTATGTAATATTCATTTTACAGTTGAGGAAACTGAGCTCAGAGTGTTTCTGGGGTTTTCAGTCTTAAGCTTCCCAGTCATACATATATTAATATGAAAGTACCTTCACATGTTTGCCATCTGGTGAATTATTTCTTGCCAAAATTCTTGTTCATGAATACTGAGAGAGGATGGAAGTGAAGCACCCATGTTGGGCAAGTGGGCTGTTTTAATGTTTTTTGCATATGGCATTTGTGTTGTGATGGTATAATAGTCCTTGAGAATGTACTTGCTCTCAGACTGTGGCAGCATGGCATGGTGGACAGGAGCACAAAATTGCTGCCGGATTGCTGGGTTCCGGTCCTGAGTCTGCCACCTGCTGTTTATGCAACCTCTGTGTCTCATTTCCTTTATCTGTAAAATAATATGCCTTATAGTGTCAGTAAGTATTAGCTGCTATTACTATTGTAAACTAAAGATTTCTTCCTAATACTTCCTACTTTTTTTCTTGTCTTAAATCTTAGAGCAAAATTAAATAATTACGTTGTTTATATATCCTTATTAATTGGTGTCTTCATTTTCAGGACACTGAGTCTTAGGATTAAATGATTCAGATCTCAAGTCATATAGCTATTGTGCCTGCATCTGTCTTGCCTGGACTACACATTGTCTTGTATCCCTTCTTAGCCCTTTTTCTTTTTCTCATTATATATGCTGCTATCATAGTTGTTTTTTGTTGTTATTGTTGTTTAGTCTTCCTTT